AGCTAAGTAGATAATGTGTTAGACATTAAAGGCAAAAGATACTGGGTACGAGGTCCGGTTAAAATACTAAACTGACGAGTCCAAAGTAGAATTCCGCTACTATATATTATCCAGTCTTACTTAAATATGTAAACGAAGGGTGAAAATCTAAACGTTAACAAAAGTCATTGTTAGATCCTTTAAAACAGGATGAGATTTCAAGAAGAATTGATAGGAGAACTAGCGTTGTGCTGAGAAGTTTTCTTGTAACTCAATATCAGTGAATGTTCATTCAATCAGTGTAAGATAAACCACTTTCTTTTAAACTTAGGAATTTATGTGTAGTCATAGAATTAAATAATTAAGAACTGATATAAGGCTTTTGAGAATGTTTTTGTACATGTAATAATGTACACTAGATCATGTGGATTGAATATGTTCACACTCCATGTTTCATTCCAAACATGCTCTGATGCTTGCCTAAATGCTTTCATTTTCTTTCTTTCATCCTCTCTCTCTGTCTCTTGTTCCACTAGTTATCAAAAATACACATTTCCATAAAATTCATTAATTGATACTTGGTTTTGCACTCAGTGGTTCAGAGTAATACGAATGTTTGGATCACTGAAAAATGATACCAAATTAAAATTTGAAGGCACATCTTTATCCTTCTTTACTCACCCTGCCGCTCTAATTAATAGTTATTCACTTATTAATGGATAATTAACGTATTCATATCATTTTGATTAGAATATTCGTGTAAAACCTCAAAATATACTCACTTAATCAGTTAGTTTTGCTTTTTAATTGCCATTAGTATAGATTATAGTGAATTGATTCGTTAGATCAATTCAATCACATTTAACTAATTCTGTCAAGCTGATTTTTATATAAATTATATATGATCACATATTACGTATTGTATACTATACATGTTCAATGTGCAATTTAACAGTCTACAGTTGTACTGCATCTCCAACCAATATTATAAAGTTATATCGCATTATCAGTTATTTTGAAAGGAAGTACAATATTCATAAATGCAATCATTAAACATTGAATAATTACTGGATACAAAGTGAAAATCACAAATTCATTGAAAATAATTAACAACCAGCGGACACCACTTTCACTCCGTTTTGTATGGGCCATTGGCGTCAACCGATCTCAATTTGAACTTTGTAACCAGAATGAAAGTGTGGTAAATATCTCATTGCTATTGTAAGATAATTACATTATTTTACTATTTGTCAGTTGCATTATCTTGTTATTGTACTTTATAAATTTTAAAAATATCCCACTGATTTTCAGTTACGAAATCAACTTTAATTTTATGTTATCTAGGTGACTTGATTAACAGTTTGTTTTTATTCTCTATATTATCATTTATAACTTCAACCCCTTCTTTTTATAACTTCAACATATAAACATTAGCGAAACCACGAAACGATAACTGTTGAAAACCTGAAGGTATTAGACGGTCGTTTCGTCTTAGTCTGGGAATTCTCAGTAGTGTGTATTCATGACATTGCAGCTAGAAATTGATTTCAATACTTTTGATTTTATGTGCAAACGCTTAACCTCTATACCACTGACCCGGGATCCAGTTGTGTACAAGTTTAGATACTAATCACTCTTATCATGTTTAATGTCTTTTCTCTTTTTTTCTGTCGTTTCGAACTAAACTCCATTGAACTTCATGTTGCCCTGCAAATTTTTTTCGCGCTTAACATAGATTATTACATAGCTATTAGTTTATATACATACTAATGCATACATTTTCAGATTGATGTCATACAGTAGTTTGGTTGTAAGTTTTTAATCTTACCCCATTCTTAATTGTGTATTTTATCTTTTACAATTCATATAGATTTATTATTATTATTGCAGTGGACCAGACAACATTCCTTTCATGATTCATTACATTCCAACTATTAAATGACATCCTTTGGATGAATTTTAAGGTTCATCATTTAGCCTGATATCAAGAAACACTAAAAATCAAAAGGAGATACAACCAAAATGAAGAAGTAAACAATGACAGGTTAAAGGTCAACAATAACCAGTCAACATCGAGGTCTATAGGACAAGCTGTGAGCTATATGTTGAGAAATTCGAACACTTCACTTCTACCTAATGTTTGTGCTGACGGTGACGTTTGGAATAACGACTAAAGCTCCACGACCATACCATTCAGCTCAGGGAACAAAACTCCATCAAAATTGAGAAACACAATAGTTCGATCATTTTTCTATTCATAATTTCATCAGAACAACAGTTGACACAAATCCTATTCTCTAATTATGGTTGATGAAATTCATTTGTATGACACAAATCATACATTGTGGTAAAAAGTAGCATAAACCTTAACAAAGTTCAAAGGTCGTGTTGTTGTTTCGGGTCAATGAATGACTGTTCACGATGGGTTGTACAAATTTTCTTAGTGGGCTGTAAACAAAGCAAAAGTAGGACCGGTCTGATAATTATGATAATAACAAATTATGTCTGAATGTTTAAATACACTAGATATGTTAGTATTTTTGTTGTTGAAATGAATATAGGCCTAATGAGAAAACGATTCAACCAACCCGAAAATAAGCGTTCTTCAAAGTAAAATTATTTAAACAAATGGTTGAGTTTGGTTTCACTGCTTTTTGTATAACCGAAATTGTAAAATACTTATCTTCAGTTTCATATAATCCCCTTAAATTAGTTAACTAAGATTTCGGATCATACGGTAGGTGTTATAAATCTTGGATCTGTAATGTGTAAGTGTAGCCTCGATTGGGCAGAGTTCGAGATGTTAATGATTTGAAAAACACAATATCATCTACTGTTTAACTAATTTAGATGTAGAGGATTAGGCTTCATGGTCAGATTTGATGTCTGAGAATTTAAAGTAACTTTGATTTACAATGAATTCATTTATAATTAATTCTACGATTATATACATCATTTGCTGATTATTCGTTCGTGTTAGTAAAAACAGATGTTCATTTGAATTTTCTATGGAATTCCATCAATAATGAACTCAAGTTTTGAGTTAATAGCGAACAGTTGTGCTGTAAGCAAATGATAATCATATTGCGGGATCGAGATTCCATCTCGATTGTAATATCCAATAATCTTAATATCGTGCAAGTTATGTGTTGGTTTAGATGGAATGATGTACGAATCATATAAATGAAAGAAACCACCAATAGACCAATGAGCTATATGAATATATTCTACAATTCTATCGTATCTCTAGAAATTTTTTGTTGATAAAGCCTGTTCAAACATATTGTCCTCAAAAAGATATCAGTCAGTGTTAAACAACGAAGAATCCGGTACATATTATCGATCGGTTTACCTTTCCATATCATGTTAGCAAAATGCAAAGGCACTGTCAAAACAAATTTCAGAGGAGAAATAGTAGCAGTAGCAGAATATACTCAGCTTAGATGACATAATTCGAGAATGAACTCGTTAGATGAAAAGTATAATTTTGACATCCAAGATTTCAGTGAACATCAAAAGTAAATGAATTTAGGCCAATGAGACCGATTTTGAGCCACATCAACCAGTCTCTGAACACTGGTTACGATAGTTGCGTCGATCCCAACCACGTAATTTGAACTTATTAACAAGGGTCATTCCATTTGTCAATGACTCTATGAACTGATGTTTGAGACAAACGTTTGCAAAATATCTGCATCAAAATTCTACAAGTTAAAATGATCAGGACGTAATCTCATTCACCAAACCTACAACTTGACTAATTAACAGATATAATAATTCATTCCTATCACTAAACAAAAAATCAATAATCCGTCTGAGTTTTAAGGTGGTTAACAAGTTCACAGCCTCATATACATTGTTTTGTAAAAGAATGTTATGATTATTAATTGGTAATAGTTTTGAACGAAGTTTCATATGTGACATAAACATTCAACTTTCAATAATTATGAGGTGAAATCCATTCCACTTATACAAGTTTAGGTCACAAGACAATGTCATAAACTTGAATGATAAATTTGGTAGTCACTCCCATTGAATAGGAATAACTACGGGCTTTAGAGATGGAGAATATGTTTTATCTCGGGATGAGGATTTCGGAAAGTGGGTCAACTAAAAAATTACTGGAAGAATAATCTTTTCTGAACATTAGTTGGTTGTAAACTACATATGCATTCATTAACCAGCGAAAAGAAACCTCAAGATTCCTCTACAATGTTGCAACAACGTACAAATAAGAGAAATCCCAGCTGATATTTAATCATGGAAATGATTATGGAGTACAAAAACAAATTCTATCTCACAATAGTCAGTAGATCGTTCGGATCTCAGAAATATGTATTACTAAACAGGGAATTACAAAGCTGTTATCACTACTCTAGTGGTACGTTGACGGTGGCCTATTTGTGTAAAATGATGTGGTAGGAATGGGTTTTTTTAGATAAAGTATCAACATACTTCAGTAAATCGTCTAGGGTAAAACTAAATGAAAATGGAGTTGAGACAGAATTTTATAAAATAACCCTAGTTGCACTAATAACATTAGAATTAACTCACATGGCATTGTTTTACTTGAATCTTCCCATTGATGATTAGAACTGAAATTGATCAGTCACTTATTGGCATATGTGCATACAGTGCGATATTGCCTTAATTTACAAGCATTATAAGCTGACGAGTCCCAAATAGGACGAGACGCGCGTCCTGGATTTCACTGCTAGCCACTATCCATCTTTGCTTATAACATTAGAATTGTTACGAATTTTTAGTGTGACTAGGATTTTTATTTACGGTTGACACTAAACGTCTCTAGCAATACTAAACTATCGATACATTAATTAATACTTTTATTTGACCAAAACACATATTATCTATTTTGAAACGCTACAATTACAGAAGATAGGTGACATGAAACTGACTGAAGAATGGATATTATGGAGACAAAGTGACACCTGAGAGTAATTGAATATATTACCAACCGCTAAAATTCACACACCTAGTCAAATACTTGACAAAACACCTGATTAAATTGAGGAGCATAACTCCCAGTTTTTTTATACATGAGAAACAAACTACACTCCCAATGAGTAAAAAAACCAGATTTTCTGACGTTTCGTGACTCAGTGTAAGCCACGTCTTCAGAGAATAAATAATCAAATCAAAATTAATACAGGTTTAGATAGCACAAAGAAACAACGCAAGAATATTATATTACAAATATACTTTTTTATTTAAAACAATCTACCCAATACTCAATTTATTCAGAATTATCAGAATTATCATTACCTTCGTAATGGTACCTACAAACTACACCCCCGTTCACTCTTTTTTCGAAAAACAAATGTATAAGCCCCAACAGATTCCTTTATTTTTATTAATTGTCACAAAAGTGTAGAAAAAATTTTCAGAATCGCAATCATTTCAGTACAATTAAATTGTTGTTTTTAAAGGAAGGTAGATACGAATAGTAATAATAATAGTAGTAATTAATCGTAAGCATAATAAAAACAATAAAAACAGTACTATATGGTAATAGTAGTATAAAAGTTAGTTATAAAAAGAAGGAATAGACACAATTTCAAAACAGGTCAATGAAATCCAGATCTTCACGTACATACTGTTCAAAAACTTGTTGATAAAAGTATTACTAATAGTAATCGTAATAGTAATAATAATAAAAGCTAAAAAAACCCATTATAAAAGTAAGGCATTTGAAATCAGTATTAGTAGGCGTAAAAGTGGTACAGTTTCGTTGATATAAAAATTAAACCATTACAAAAGTGGTAAGAAATTCTAAACTGTGCGAACGACAACCATAACAAGAATTAAAAATAGATTTGTTATATCTGGAAAAACCAGTTTTGTGTTGTACACATCCATGCTAAGCTTTTACCTAGTAAGATACTATTACTATTGTTTGTAATACTGCTATAATGCAACTATATACTCATGAGCAATAGTTATGGATTAAAAAATACACATATATACGAAAAAACACAAGAATAACTTTACACATAATTTGATGGTATACCTGATCCATCTTTCAATGGTTCTTTCTCTAAACTTTTCTGTGGAGTATTATCCACTGAATAAACATTATCTATGTAATGTTCATATAAAGCCATAACAATTTCAGATGTGATCACATCACCAGCATTGATGGCCAGCATACGTACTAAAAATACACCATCTCGGCGAAGGTAATCATCAATGAATTCGTCTAAATCAGCACGCGTAATCTCCTGACCAGTTCTTGAACGTATTCCTTTAATACGTAAGAAACGTTTGATAAAATCTTTACGTCTTGGTGCGATAATCATTCTTACTAACCATAATATTAAACTAAATATACTGGCAGCTATAAGGAAACAGATCCAAAACCAGAAAAATATATAAATTTTCTCGTTTAACATATTTATCGGTAGTGCACATTGTGCCGTATAAGCATTTTCAGCACCGACTAAGCGAATACCTGGGACACGACAATAAGCTACACGTGGGAATAGAATTGTCTCTGGCCAATCACGTCCAGCACGTATATGGTTGGCAACAGTTAATCCGAATCCGAAACCGTCTAAATCTTCATTTTCTTGATTCGACATCGCTGCAACTATGCGGAAAGAATAAAATCAAAAAGATTTATTGTTAATAAATCACATTGTAATTATAATATAAATATCAAGACTGCGTCAACACCTAAACTAATGATGGAGATTGAAGTACTTGAGGTTGTCGATTACTTCACTTATTTTGAAGCTATCAGCTCTAACAGGTTAGCATCTGATGAAACATCCGAATGGATTTACAAGTCCCACTTGAGGTTTGCCAACTTGAGTTAACTATGGCCTAGGAGAATTGTTTGTCTGCCGACCAAAGGGTGAGGATAATACGAGGCTATCCCCTTTGTACAACTCTCTAGTTATGCAGCATGGTTAATGAAAGTAGGAGACATGCATGGGCTGTAGGTTTTTAGTCATAAATGTTTTCGAAACATTGTTTGGTACAGTGGGACGATAAACTGGGCAGTGCTGATGTTGGTCATCTGTCCACAATGTTACTGACTGTCGGTCTGAGCCATACTAGTAGACGTAGACTACGTGGTGGAAATCCGCACGATAACCGTGACCAGTGGTTGGAGAATGTATATGAAATGGCCCAGAACCGGTCCCAACAACACTTGTATTTACTCCATATCTTACTGCAGATCTTGAGTTACGGTATTCTGTCTTTCCAAACCATATTCTCAATACATCGTTTATTGTGTAGTTACCACTTACTAGATTATTTTGATTTATTTTATTTATTTATTTGAACACATAAATATTGGTACAAGGGGACACCAGATATAATTATTTCGATCCTTTTTAGTATTCATCTTGTCAATCCCAATTCTTCACACTAATGTTGAACTGACACACATTTGTCTCAAGCTTTATGTCGATTGCGACTGATTGAAAATGTTGAATGAAATAATGCGGGATTAAGGTCTGTTAGAAAAGGTTTGTGGTGGCGATTAGTTTAAGTGTTAGGTAGTATTCCTCATGAGTTGTGACATCAGTTGGAGTGTCACTAACCTGACCCAAAATTTAGAATTAGTAAGATGGTAGAGGTTCATAATCTCAATATTAGAGATTCCGCTATGGGTGCAATAAACAGAGCGAGGTTGAGATCAGATAATTTCAACTTAATGAGGAATTATCAGTGTGGGATTGTGGAGATTGTTACGTTTTTGATTGAGACCATGAATCGATGAATGCTAGACCACCATTGAAAACCTGGAAGCACTGGACGGCCGTTTCGTCCTATTGTGGGACTCCTCAGCAGTGTGCACCCAAGATCCCGCTCGTGAGATTCGAACTCAGGGCCTCCAGTCTCGCGCGCGAACGCTTGACCTACTGGACCACTGAACCAGCATCCAATGGTGTTATTGTATAGCCTCAACCAATCCACGAAATTGCGCGAACACCTTCCATTGTACTGAGGTAGAAACCTGTTTCTCCCCGACACGGATTAGCTCCACTGGTCACGGCTTCTCACCAGAACTCCGAGAATTTCCTGACGAAGCTAGTCACTAGTGAGCACATGGTAATTATCAGTGTGGGGAATTACGCACATTAGTCAATGCTGAAAATTTACTCATTGGATGAGTAAGTATGAATATTGTGCTTCACTATATCGACTGAAGAAGTTTCTACTGAACTCGACAAAACATTAAATGAATCCGAAGTGGTATTTTTTAGCTCCCGACTTCTCTGTTTGAAATTAGAGTAACTTTCATTAATCTTATGCCCATGGGTTATTAGACAACTGAGCATGAAGAAACTGTATGTGTTGCATAAATGAACAGAAAAGGAATAGGGGAGTGTAGTAAAAAAATTAAGTGGACAGGAATGCTGTCACCTGGGGTGTTATTGAGTTGCTACTGATATAAGCAATCTTCCTATACACGATTCTAACCGAGCGCTCAAGTGGAAGGACGTTTATTGACGAAATGTGATTAGTTCAGTGTATCAAAGGATAGTATACAATAGGAGATATAGTTCAATTAAAGACACATCTGAGAATCCTCTTCAAGTTAAGGGAGTTCCTCCCGCATTTATGGAAAATATAAAAGAAAATTAGAACAATATCGTCATTAGCATATATTCTCAGCCATGTCTGACTAACATTTTAAGCCACTGGCTTGAAACCTATCAACGACCTCAACCTCAGTCTCGATGAACTGGCGAATACTAGTACTATAAGACCTTCTTTCATGATGAGATTGTTTCTACATTTTCGGATTATTGCATTTAGAAAAGTATGAACAGTTGATAGGCACAGTTAAGTACTGTGAATTCAATGTAAACATGTAATTTTAGTTAGACGACGTTGGGAAATGTAAAAAACAATTTAATTTTCTTACTTGGAATATGAACTCAAAAAAGAAAGCATGAATGTCCATTTACCTGCCGAGCTAGCTTCGTATGGTTTCCCTAATTGCATACTTTTCTGTCCCGCGCTTCCATCAGCATAAAAACCAAGAAAACGTTGAATCAAATATACTTGCATAATTGCATTGATAATTGTTATGAGTTTAACACATAAATATGAAAATACCAGACATGTTCCAAGTCGTTTACTAACAACACATATACCACACATGTCATATGCACGTCTAGTTAAATTCATACGACGACCCTACATTAAAAAAGGAAACGAGAGAGGTTGTGAGGCTGAGTCAAAATACCTGGGCAAGATAATTTATAATCCGCCTTTTCATCAGAAGAAATAATGGACCTTATAATATTTAAGGCAAGAGACCAAAAGAGCTTATCAATTGACTGTCAACTTCGAATTGTTTGAACCATGATTGAGGATCTTAAATTTATTTTAATTTAGGTAAACATTTTCGTATACATTATAGAATATAAGAAGTTTTGAGTTTAGAACTTATACAAACGAGAAGAAAGATAATTAAATCTTAAAATAAGCAACTCAGTAGTAAATACGATCGTATACTAACGAACACGTCATAGGTATATCACAATAACTTTCAGTACATGGTACTGATAATAACCAAGAATTTTATTCTAAAAGAAGGCTAACCCCATGGATAACAAATTATTTAGTAGTTCACAGCTTTATTTTTCCTTTGCTCTATTCCAGCCCTTGGCATCATTAGATGTGCATTGTGATTTACAAAAGCTGTTGTGTAGAAATGGTCAGTTAGGTTGTTTAGGCAGCAAATGTAGTGGTGCTACTGTTCAACTTCTAACCTCTATGTCGTAGGTACGATCTCTGCCCTACCTAAGTTATTTTGGGTAGCTGACTAGTATCAACGGTCCACAAATATGAAAATGAGACTCAAAGTTGAGTATAGAAATTTGTAGTTCGTTAATGAGTAACGGTTCTACTATTCAACTAGTCGGTCATGAACACTGTGGAACCTGGTACATATATATTTCATTTCCAGTTGTTGCCAATTACACTATGCATATTGCACGTTAAGTTATGATACTGGCAACACTTTCTATCCGAAAAACGTTCATTTCTAATTTTGATGAGCAAAAACGGTTAAATGCAAATAAATTATGTATCCTTCAGTAAAATTCGAGGGCAAATATACGTTTAGCTGATATGTGTACCTGTTAAAATAGAAGGCAACTAAGCACCCTATGTACTCTTAACAAATATTGAAGTGTAACCTAGAACTTCCACGTTTTGTTGCAAATTAAAAATCAACAAATATTATGATTTGTGATACATTTCTCAAACTGAACACATTATTGAAATCTTTGATTACCCGAAACAAATGTTTTTGTACATCAATACAAATAAATTAGTGAACATATATTTATCCAAATGGAGTCTTAGTTTTAATGTACAGCTTAGTACTGATAACATCCGACTACTCAGGCCAATGTAAACCGTAGGAGTTCAAATTCGAACAGCTTAAATATTCTGTATCACGTCCCTTGGACGAATAGTTGAAAAAAACTGCAACAAAGTTACTATACAAATATTTGACAATGTTTAAATGAATAAATCCAAATAATCGGTCAAAATTTCTAGATTACAAAGTGAAATTTAGAAACAAGCATCTATATAGTTAGTCAGTAACAGCGTAGAACTTCGTACGTAAATACATCAGTTCGAGTTGCCATGCCATATTAACACACAGATACAATTGTCCATTCAAATCCCGTACGGGTAGAGGTAGTAAAATTATAAGTAGTAATCGGAAACATTAGGGTTTGGAGATGTTATTCAAGGAGTATAATCCAGTGAAATAAATTTGGAAAGAGAGACATGAAGAATTCAGAAAATTAGAATCTGAGAGAACACAAAGAGTGAATGCACCATCACCATTGCAAACAATTTTGAGCCATTTCATTCAAGGTCTCAAACTATCGGTTGCCATTGTCTCACGGATCCCAACCAGGTTATCTACACCTACCTACCAAGATGGCTCAGTCCACTTGTCAGTGACTTCATAGATTTGTGTCATGTTTTGGTCTGGCCGCCTCTAGCTTTCTTCCAACCTACTCCCACACCATAAAACATCGCAAGTCGGGGCAGTCGGTGGTTGGGCATACGTAACACGTGTCCCAGCCATCTCAACTGATGAAGTTTCACCACTTCATCTATTGATTTGCCATCAGCGTCTATCAAACAGAACTATGTCATCGGCATATTTTAAGTCAACAAGTGAACCTCCCGGTAGAAGTTCAACCCCTGGAAATCTAGACGAGGAAAACGTTATCTCTAAAAGTACGTCGGCGACACAGTTGAACAAGAATGGAGAGAGTGGACAGCCCTGACGAACACCACTTGAGGTAATCAATTCTGATGACAGTTCGCCATAAGCTCTCGCTCGACCAGTTGTGTTCGAGTAGAGAGCCTTTACAAGGTTAATGTACTTTTTTGGTACTCCTTTCAGTGACAAACACTGCCATAGAACCTTACGATCAACAGAGTCGAACGCCGCCTTAAGGTCGAGAAATACTACCATTGTGGGGCGTCTGAATGTGTCTGTGTTCTAGAACCTGACGTAGTGTGAATATCTGGTCCATACAACCACGTCCAGGTCGAAAACCAGCCTGGTTTTCTCTAGTCTGCTCTTCACGAGCTTTGATTAGGTGTCGAAGCATTAGTGAAGCTAATATTTTAGACACTATATTTGTCAAACTGATTCCGCTGTGATTGTCACAAGAGGACTTTTGTTCTTTCTTATAGACTGGCACAATCAGTGATTGAGACCAGTCAGATGGGATTACGTCCAGTTCCCAGATTCTACCTAAGACATCAGTCAATCTCACTGCTAATACTGGACCACCATCTTTAAAAATATCAGGGGTAAACCTTTCAGGGCTTGCTGCTCTCCCTCGCTTCAGATTTCCTATAGCTTTTTCAACTTCGTAGAGTTGGAGGACTTACATCAACTTGCCATTCAGGTCGACTGGAGATCGTGGGAAACCGAGATTTGGCTGAAGGCCAGTTGAACTGATCCCTAATGTGTTCTGCCCATCGATCCAATCTCCTGTATTGAGAATGAATAATATATCCATCTTTTTCCGAGATAGTTTCGTTAACAGTTGGTTTCGTAAAACCGGTTTCCTTAACAAGTCTAAACAGTTGTCTGTTGTTACCTATTGCCACTGCGTTTTCCATCTCGCTTGCTTTCGTCATCTCTATAAGATAATTTAGTGACAGGATGTTGTGGTACTTCAGTATCTGAGTAAATTTCTCTTATATATGTGTGTGTGACTCACTGAACAAATGAACTTGAAAACCTGTAAGTTAACAGCTCTCAAAATATGTAACACTTTGTCCAAATAAATGGGCAACAATATGACCTGGTGACGTTCCTACTTATAAATAAACACTAGAAACAATAAGCGATTTCATATCACCAAATAAACTAGTCAATCAACTTACATGTCGACAATCCTTATGACCATCAATCATATCTTCCAAAAATTCAGCCACACGTTTAACTTGGCTCTTACGAGAACCACGTTCAGAAATTGCGGCATCGGCAGCGGCTTTCACAAGAGCAAACAAATCTCCACCGGATCTATGGGCGCATACAGCCTGCCATGCAATATGTGGAATGTAGAAAAATATACATTGCAACCCGAGAACAAATGGGACCCACTGGTAATAGGCTGTAGAATTAAACACAGTAAAACATTTTTTCTGTACGATGACAACAACAGAGCAATTGTATTGCATTTATTTATTTAAACACAAACATTGGTACGAAGAGGCACAAAACAGATATACGCTGGGATACTGCTCAGGTGCCCAAACCGAAGCAGGTAATTGTATCACATAATTATTAGAGAAACGGTTACTTTTTGCAGTTTTCCTTTGATCGAGTAAGGTGAGAAAGAGAATTCTGCAAATTAAAATGACTTCATTATTGTCTTAAATTACGAAAACAGTTTGAATACTAATTGCTGAATCGAATTAATGAATTGTTAAGAGATGAAACTTTTTGACTTCTTAAATCCCATAAATTCGTTGCTAAACACTGTAGACCACTAATTATTCAGTAAGCGGTTAATAAATAAATTTACTGTACAGTTTAATACTAAACGCTAAAAGGACTATATGCGAGGATTGATATTTTCTAATTGCTCATATTAAGGAATGCTATCGGTCAATCTTAATTAGTATAGGTATATTCGGAGCGATACGTCTTGACTTTATTTTTATTTAGTCATGTATTTTTATGATCTCTAATTTATGGTCAGCAATGAATAATGCATTGGCGTTGAAAGAGAGAAGTTATGGTTTGAAGTCTTGGTGCTGACGTCAAAATTAAGATACAAGGACATTCAGTTGACGAGTTTCAAACGGGGTGAAATGAGTTTTTTCAGACTTCACTATCAAGTAAAATCTAAATATATGCTAAAATAATGAAGGTCATGTGAAACTAATATGCAAATCACCTTGATAAAGACATAATCAATCGGATTGTACGATAAATGGATGATATAACGGAATATTTAATGATGTAGACGTGTAAATGCACATAGAGCAAGAGACAATATGATAAACAACGACCACTTTATCCAACGAAGTACAACAATTTCAAAAAAAGATTTACGTAAAAATCTATGCATTTAATTTAATTTCACATTTTATACCTGTGCACATGAGATAGAGAGGAAGTGTGGAAACAAGACTAACAAATTACACAATTTTCTGCACATATGTATGCATCACAAATTGTTTACATTTGAATCGTAGATCAAATATCTGATCAATACGCTTATGTACACAAAAGGTTGACAGAGAACGAAAACTAGAGCAAAGAAATGAACCATTTTCGGTGGGATGTCGCCGATGAAGTAAATTACTTTATTACACTTCTGTAGCGAAATACTTGTAGTTGAAAAAGGATCACGATATTTATCTCGAATAAATATCTGAAGATCGCTTATGATTGATAAGAAGTTATTTCTTTATATGAAGAGGGAACGACAATGTGAAAGCAAAAACAAAGCGAATGATTGCCTTTCATGTGAAGATTGTATGTAACATGTACATAGATGAAAACTTTTAGTTTATTTTCGTTCGTTTATAACAAATTTAGACAAACCATTTAGTCATTTACTAGATAACATACATGTTGGTAGGAATATAATCCTGGTTATAGTGATCTTTGTCTCATAGCTATATCTGGCTGACTAGGGAATTTCGCTCATGAAAAGAATTCAGATCATTTAGAAATGTCAACAATACTATTAAAACTAGTATACGCAGACAGGTTTCATTAATTTTCTAGCGAAATATTTCTGATTATAGACAAGATTTTTAACTGAAAATCGAAGTATAAACTCATTCAAGGTTGGCCCAATAGTAGTTACACTGTCTGGTGCTTTCTAGTTTACAGCAATATTGCAACTAAGGTCAATTACTGTCAACTAAGACTGCTTCAGATAGATAGCCATCATAGGGGAACCCTAAGAGTTATTAACCTAGGAACACACTCATAGTTAGAATAAGGATGTGTTCATTACACAACACGCTCATGTAGAACAGAAAATGAGTAGCACATATCAACTTGCTTTGAAAGCAATGAAGAACATTTTTTAACATTCGGTTAATACTATGGAATGCCATCCGGCGATAAGAAATATATTACGATCTAATCAATTTGTCTATTTTCTTTAGGAATAATCATTTACAAGCAAAGAAAATGTCGCAAACAAAAACTAATCAATAGTTCTAAGACATAACATTGTACATACAAACCTTTTGTTTTGTATTTATAGTTACACCCACCTTATAAACATACAGCACATGACAACTTAATTGGTTAATACTAGACAATAAATATATCCACGCATCTCAAGTAATTTTATGCAAATCATGAATAGATTGTTCTGAACACATAATGATGAAAAGTTATCTTGAAAGTAGATCAATAATTTGATATAAGCTGTTTTAAGGTGATAATAGGGTATTCTAAACAAGTTACAATACTAATACATAACAGAATAATTATTAAAAGGTTAAGATGTTTGTAATTAAGAGTGATGAATGAAAAAAACTCAAAAAGAACGATCAACATGAAAGTGCACTACTAGGTGTTCTTCAGTCACTGATTGACGTCAAAGAAAAATATACATGTTGGAAAAAAAAGGGTTAGTGGACAGTTTTGATGTAGATTATATGATGCACTCGACTTAAATGGTACTTCTCAATAAACTCTGTTGGGATGCCAGGTAAGTGAAGGACTGACAATAAACTTATGCATGTTTATTAGTAAGACTATACAAGATCTAGCAATTAATGACATAAAATGTCTCCTTTAAATCGGAGACTCCAAGTTAACTTTTTCAAAGTCAACCAGGTAAAAATCCTATAAATTATAATCTGACAAAATGTAAGAATCAGAAAATAATTGCAAGCTTACTTATACGTCTTAAACGATCATACTCATCCCATTCTTCACGATTAACCGGTAATTTTTCATCTGGCCTCAGAGGGATTGTACCATGTACCCAACAATAATCCGTAAGGTAAGCATTAAAATTGTCGCCCGTGGGCTTTACCGGAACATAACATGAGATTGAACTCATAAAATATTGTTTTGTTGACACAATTATACATGATAAGAGGAATAAAACAACTGTGAATAAGTTAAGGCGATCTGAAAAATCCTCAACCGCTACACGATTCCCATAGCTGTATTTAGAGAAAAATTCAATGAAATCCTTCGCTACCATACTCAGCCTACAACGCTAAGCATGAATTAAATTGTGAGTCATTCTTGCAAGCTTTATTGTTATTATAGATTGATGTGTGACCTTCGTGTGTATGTCTAAAACAACACAGATTAAACCTAATAATCTGATTGGTTCAGAGTAGGATGAATTATATATGCATCAGCTGATAGATATTTACACCCCCACAAAGATACGAGTTTTAGACTGGAATAAATTTTTAAACAAAGGTACACAGAATTTGCAATTTTGTTTACTAAATAACCAATTAAAAATAAGATTATTTACTTAAGCATAGAGACAGTTTTGATGTGTTTAGCACGATGACTACAATGTGTACATTGACAGTAATTGTATTTGTAAATATGAATATTAGAAAATACATTTGGTAGATAAACAATAAATGAAACGATATTTAATTGATATCATGGTTGGATCTAAACAACGGATGGGGTTATGTACTTTTTAAAAAAGATAAAAACTCCAATACTACTACGTCTTTTTAGCAAACACTTTAACTGTACTAAAGATATTATTATATGAGCGAAACTTCATTGAAAAGCATAGCATTATAATATACATTTAGTTAATAGTAATTAAAGTAGTTTTCAAACTATAAACACACTTTTTTTCACAAGACTCGAAATTTATCAAAGGGACTAATTGTTTTAGATTATTATATTATTAATTTCAATGGTCCATGCGCTAAATTGTGGCCAATGTTTTCATGTCTGTGAAGAACTTTACAAAACCAAGAGCATTTTCTCATCGAGGATTATAATCTACGGAAAAATCATTTAAAATACGAAAGTACCTAAAAGTTAATTCGGTTTTATCATAGAATCAAGTCGTTCACATATATACCACTAATGTTGAAGTCTTGAAATAATCAAAATATCATTAAGCTGTCCTAAACACAGTAACTGATAATAAGCAAAGACGGAATAGTGGCTAGCGGTGGAATCCAGGACGCGCGTCTCGTCCTATTTGGGACTCCATCTTTGCTTATAATGCTTGTAAATTAAGGCAACATCGAGGCAATACGCACAGTATGCACAATGTCAATAACAGACTGATCAATTTCAGTTCTAATTATCAATGGGATGATTCAATTAAAAACAGTAACTGGTGTTTTTCAACTTCATTTAAAAAAACATGCATAGAATGGAAGCCTGAGATAGTGGAAAAGATTTGCAGCTCAGGTGGATGGTTTTGACGGAGTTTTGTTCTCTGAGCTGGATGGTTTGGACGACTAAAGACTATCAGAATGGAAGCCTCAATCTAAGAATAAAGACCAGTGGACTTGATCTACAAAGATGATTGATATACCGCTTTCATTGCGATACTAATGTGTCAAATCTGATACTTCGCGTATTTGTGGATAAATAATGCTGATGACTAGCAAAGTAAACCGAAAAAATAACAATACATTTTCGCTGTACTCAGTTTTCAATTAGCTGGAGTCAGTACTCTGTAAAAACGGGAAATGTTATTATGTTACTTGAATAATATTAAGTAGTTAGAAACATAATGGAAAATTATCAAACATAAACTCACACGCATTAGTATTACATAGAAGCGGTGATACGAACGGATATGTTTAACCAAATTAATTACAGATAAAAGTAATCGTAATGTTTTTACTCACATTAGGAATTTAACTGCTCCAAACCATCCTTTTGTTCTAGCTGAGCCTTGAATAAACTTATTCCTTCTTTCATTTTTCTACTTCTACATATTGTTCAATATCAGTCCTTTGATTCTTACATAGCTACTATGATATTAACCTTTCATCAAAACATATTGTGAACTTTTTTTACAAATTATGTAATGTAACAACTGTTTAACTGAGTTTTTCCAATAATTACTTTGATTATTATAATACCCTTTCTTCCAAATATTCAACATTAGTTTATAATCACATTACATTACTCAACTATTCGGAAAATATTTCATTGTTATAAATCAAATATATATTAATGTACAAACATCATGAAAAACTAACTGGAAAGGACTAAATATCAAAATGGGAATTTTCACAAAGATTTAACTAATAAATGAAACTTAGTAACCAAGTTCAGTTTATTTATTTGGCTTTTACTCACAATTTTTATAGGGCATTGTGATGTTATCCAGCTACTTATACTTAAAGAGATGAAATGAATTCAAAGCTGAGAACCGATAGTTAGAACTTAGATTATTTCAGTGTGAAGTCACTTCTACAAAAGGTAGATCATTAACAAAATTCAAATGTTCATAGAGATACTGTTAATTTCTATCGATAAGAGTGAATCAATCGATATTTTTTGAGTTAAACACCCACTATATATGGTTCATTTAGTTCTGGACTGGTTATTACTCTGACCCTTTTCATTTCACCATCAATCATGAAATTGCATCAGTTTTGTGAACATGACTAACCCCTGTTATTGATTCGTTTTGTTGTGTTCCTGCTACTATTCGGTAAGCATGTATTTGTTATTCTCTTTGTAAATGACTTCTATTTTGTATTTTCGCACTAATTGTATTAAGATACATTTTAGAAACAGATTATAATTGTTGGCTAAATACATAGTTACCTGTTTTAACGATAGTCCTCCTAAAACTTTGTGAGACAGTAGAAAGACTTATTCCGCAAATTCACCTGTAGGTAATTACTTCATACAGATACTTCATTGTTTGAGTAGTATAAAGTGATAGCCATCCAGATAAAGTGGCAGTTCTAAACTAGTTTGACAATATCTTGAGCCCGTTTCTTTTAGGATCAAATTTATGAAGTTCGAATCTGGTGGTAATTATGTTTTCGTCTTGTCAATCCTTATTGATTTAATGACTGAGATTCTTTTCAAATCAAATCAGATTGATAATTTATTCTAAATTTTTGATTAAGCTATTAACTATGTAGACAGATATTATCGTTTTTTCAAAATCCTTCATCATACACATTCCATTTTCTCAGTCTAGCGCAATATATGGAGTTAATATGAGTACCAGTAGAATGTTTATATTAAATTTAGTAAAGTCGAATCGGAGTCCGAGTTATTTACGATAAGTGGTTGGAAGCGATTAGCTTGAAGTCCTGAAACTATGTTTTGTGCTAGTTAAGACTTATCATCAAGGTGTGCCAACGATTTCCATGCGTGATATTCAGTCTCACCTCTAAGATCGTTAGATTCAGTGGTGTTAACATTCAGCTATTTGGGCCGTAACTAATCTGTGAAACGGAGTTGGTTATAAAAATCATACTGTACTGTTAAACCACTCAGTTTAAAGTCATAATACGAATCGATCTGTCGAATTCAGAAAACACCAAGAATAAGGGATCACAACATCGGCTTATACTCAATGATTAGTGATCATGAAGGGGACTTCGTGTTTAAAGCACTCCACTTTCCACTGTCTCGTCGCACGTTCGAATTCCGTTATTCCTAATTCGGTTTGGATAACCTTAAGTTGTCTAGATGAATTCATTTTTGACAAATGATGCCCAAGAATAAACTATAAAGAAGGAAATAAACTATACACAGTACAAAAACATTTAAACCAATCAAAAATACGTTACAAACAATCTTTCAGCCTTTCTTATTTCGGCCACAAATTGTTTGCCAATAATGAGTCATTTAGAATATCACACGTTTAATCCTAAATAGACATTAGCCAATGCTAAGAAGTACATAAAGATTTGAACAAAAACTGGTTATTAAAAGCTTCATATTGATTCAATTAGTCACCAATTTTAACAATTTTCTAATATCAGAAGGGGTTTTGTGGAGATTGTAGTAATTTCAACAGTTGAGATCATTTTAAATTAACGATTAGCACCTAGTTTGATAGGAGTAGGGAATAATAGTATGAATAAACTGATTTTATGATTCATTTATCGGGCATAGATCTGTGAACTCGTCTTCAAACCGTACTCTAAATATGAGAGATAGTGATATTATTTTTTTGCCTAAACGGAGGTGGGATTTTAATTTGGGACATAGTACTTGAGATTTCTACGCTTTATCTACGGAGTCAACCCTCCACTAGAGTGTGTAATACATAGGGAAAATACAAAAAATACGTGATTGTAAAACTTTATATGAATGCATATCGACACTAGTTGTCATTGTTCAACATCAGTACAGTGATTAATAGCTAATAACAGAAACCACAGAGGAACAGGAAATCGAATCAAGATATGCTAAGGATGGTGCTTGCAATAATAATGACAGTAAGTACTGTGTTCATAGATTTCACCATTGGTATCTTTTTTATCAGAAATTATTTTACTTTTTACCGCTATACTGTATTCTCATTATTTAACTTAAAATATATTCGATATGTATTTCTACAATTTAGCTGTACCATTATATAGTATTTGTATGAAATGAAAACTACTTTATATGTAATGGGCCATATCATTCTACCTACCATACAATACCTTCACAAGTGTACATGGTGTTGTACTTAGCTCGCGTACCAATACATCCGTAGCTACATGAGTACTGCTAGCCAAATTCCATCTAGTCAATAAAAATCAAGTTATCTTTCGTTTTTGTTGATTGAGTTGTATAAGGCAATGCTGACATACACATACATCAATCAGTCAGTCAGTCAACAACGTAGAACTTCGTACGTACATACATCAGTTCGAGTTGCCATGCCATATTAACACACAGATACAATTGTCCATTCAAATCCCGTACGGGTAGAGGTAGTAAAATTATAAGTAGTAATCGGAAACATTAGGGTTTGGAGATGTTATTCAAGGAGTATAATCCAGTGAAATAAATTTGGAAAGAGAGACATGAAGAATTCAGAAAATTAGAATCTGAGAGAACACAAAGAGTGAATGCACCATCACCATTGCAAACAATTTTGAGCCATTTCATTCAAGGTCTCAAACTATCGGTTGCCATTGTCTCACGGATCCCAACCAGGTTATCTACACCTACCTACCAAGATGGCTCAGTCCACTTGTCAGTGACTTCATAGATTTGTGTCATGTTTTGGTCTGGCCGCCTCTAGCTTTCTTCCAACCTACTCTTACACGTACATACATGCTTAGGGAACTTATCGGCAAATAATAAAATTAACAGAACATTATATGAACGAGAATAACTTTATGTTACCATTGAGATTCCTGACACAAGTATCAGTTAGTCGGTTATAAGGAATGTAGAACCCGGCACACATATACATCTAAGTTTTTACATTGCATCATAAATGAAATGATTTCACCAACGATTTAGTTTTTGTATTCCTCAACTACTGTGTTATATTTTCAGTGAAATAATGAATAATGTTTACATAGACATTTAAAAACCTGGG